ATACGAAAATCAGGCCAACAAAAAGGAATTAACTTTGTCCATAAAAACAATTACAATATTCTCTAATGCTATATAAACTGAACACCCTAAAATTTCAGAAAGATGAAGGAGGAAAAAAAACACTAAATACATACAATAAAAAGTCAATATTGTCTACATATGAGCATTGTCATTCTCTCTCTAAAACATTAATATTATACTCACGGCACATTTTAAAAAGAGCATTATAATTAGAAAATAATCTGTATTAAAATATGAACTACACATCTAAGAGACATAACTTGGCCTAACAATGGATACCATAACCTCTAAATGTACTAGAAGATTTCATTTACAAGAAGCCACAGTCATGGAATCCACAATTGGTACTTCATGGGTAATTATTTATCTCTGGCTACAAAGTCTAAAAATGCTTTCATTTTAGTTTATTCATTAGATATAAAATATTCAATTCTACCTTGCATCAACATTCTATAGTTCACCAAGGTTTAAACACAAATGCTATTCTGATCATCTGGTAGCCCAAGTTATTTTCAGGTACTAATTCAATGATAGCCCTGAATAAAAAGTTTAACCATTTTGCTCATTGCTTCATATTAACTTTTTCCACATGGGCATAGAGATACCTCGAACCATCATCCATTTTATTAAGGAAACAGTATTTTGTGAAAGATCAAAAAGGAAGCATCAGAGTTAGAATTCCAGAAATCCTTATTTCTAGTTTTTTTTATTTCTAGTAGACCACAGCCACTATTAAAAATGCTTCCTAAATGAAGCCTAAAATTTCGCTAGTACAATAAACCAAATCTAACTAAGAAACACTCCTCAAGATCATGTTTATTTGTCTCAGAAAAATTTAAGGCAAATGGAAAACAAATAAATAATAAGTAATCTGTTAACAAAACTCTTAAATTCCACAGTAAGAGCCTCTACATAAATACCAAGGTCTCTTATCAAATCAGCTGCTAAATAAAATAGTATAGCAATAATCTAACAAGATTATATTGGAAACAAATGAAACAAAAAAATACACAGAACAAATTTTTAGTGCTACTCCAATGTTATAATACCATGCAACACAGATAGTGTAATTATATATTCAAAGAGAATGTACTGCTTCCTCTTGGGTACTGTTCACCCAAGTGAGGAACTGTGAACAGTTACATGATGTTATAATCTCTCTTCTAATTTACAAGAGCAATTTACCACATTATCTAATGGGACTCCCACAAGGACACAGTTGAGCAGGTGGGACAATACACTCTACCCAAAACACCAGGTTTCCATTATCTTTACTCTCAGTTGGAAGTTGAAGAGAAACAGGTTGGCAAGCTTGCAGTCATCCTCAGCAACCATTTACTCTTATTAATATCTACTTCAAAACACAATAGACATTTCCAGAAATCTCTATTTAGGACTTACAGAGATAGCAATTGTCTGTCAGCTTAGTAACTAACTGGGGTTATATTTGCTAGTTCAATTCCTGGGTTTAAAAAAAAAAAAAAAAAAAAAACCTCTGGAATATGGATGTCTTAAGGCCTGGAGGTAAATTTTTAAATATGCAAATGACTTTGGAAGATCCTGCTATGGACAAAGCTAAAATGTATTGATTTCAACTTCAAATATATGGGCACTGATCTAACTAGCAAATCCTATAGAAATCTGATTAACCATGAGTCAAAATTTCTAAGGGGAAAAGTAGACAAAACCACAAGTAGATTAGGCACAAATAGAAAGTACTATTTTTTTAATTACTATTATTGTTGTATTATATTTGCAATACAATCTACCTACTCTGAAAAGATAATATAATTTCTAGTCACAGCGATTATTGGCAGATATTTTTTTTAAAAAAAAAAAAAAACTTAGAAAAGTCTTTTACATACAAATGTATTATAATAAATTATAATTTTAAGGAAATTGTAAGTCATTCAGTATTTATCTCTTATAAACAGTGAATAAAGAGATTTGGTTACTTTGAATACAGTTTTCTTTTTGATGAAAGCTTAAGCAATATCTTTTGTACATAAAAAATAACCTTCAAAACAACTTAAGAAAATCTACCCAGAGATAAGGAAAGAGTCCAGATGATTTTTTAGAGTGTCTTTACTAATGATTTATGATTTGAAAAAGGTATACACCACTAAAACACTAATTTTAGGTAATAGCATTAAAAAGAAATTAAGGAGTCCATAAGATTCAGGATACTATTCACTTTAAAATAATTATTAATCAACTGAATATGTCCATAAAGGTTCTTTGTTGTTTGTTCATTTGTTTTGGGTTCTGGGGATTGAACCAGGGATACTTTATCACTGACCACTGAGCTACATCCCCAGCCCTTTTTATATTTTTGAGACAGAGTTTCACTGCGTTAGTTATCCAGGCTGCCCTCAGACTTGAGGTTCTCCTACCTTATCCTCATTAGTAGCTGGGATTAGAAACATGTGCTACCATGCCTGTCATAAAATTTCATTTTTTTAAGATCACCATCTTTACTTTTAAAAGATATTAAATCTCATATTTAGTTTATAAATATAAAATTTTAATTCAAAATCTATTGCCTGAAATAATGTATCATAAACTTAAAGCCATATAATTAAAAAACATAATTTGTTCCTGAAAGGTTAACTTTCAATATTTTTACTGCATGCTCGATTTTTGGACAAATCATGTTAACTATGTGGTTTGAATAATTCAGTCTGCAAAATGGGAATAAAACCAGCAAGTAGAAAGACTAAAAGCATTAATGAATTCCTCAGAGATCGATAAGCAAACAATGCTAAAGGATAGAGCAGTACATTTTCAGAGAAAAATACCGTAAGAAAATCTCACACAGTAAAATTCCATAAAGCATTTTCAAACGGAAACCATGTTGCAGACTTCCCTAAAGATTTCTACTCTGAAATAGTCAAAAGAAAGACTTCCATTCATTCTGTTTCATCAACATTGTCATTAAACATTATTCTTAACTCGCCTTTCTATGATGTTAACATTACAGTAGAAGAAAAACAAATTAAATTGAAATACCCTAATGAGCAGCAATGGGAAAAGAAAATTATATGATTGAAAAGGTAAAATTGTTAAAGCTACAATTTTACCTTGTGATCTTGGGTGTTCCTAAAATCTTATTCACTTAATGAGAGATTATATCTAAATTTAATTAAATAGAAAAAGGTACCACTGTATTTAACGAATACACAATGTACTTTTGTCCTTACTTTTCAACCAAGAGGATTGTATGCTGCTTTGGGCCAAATAAGGTAGAAGTCCTGGACAACAATAATGTACTCATGAAGTTCTATTGGTTCTTACTAATACATAATTATATTTTTCAAACTTGGAAACTCAGATATAACATGCCAACAATAAAAAGGCGCAGAACAAAGTCAAGCAATGTAAGGACAGCAGTAAATAATTTGATTGTATTGAAATTATAAAATACCTTGCTAATCCATATTTTAGCAATTTTATTTCGATATAATTTATATCCCATACAATCCACCCATTACCCAGTGTTTATTAAATAGTTTGTTCACAGTGTTGTGCAGCCATCACCACAACTGATTTTCATTACTCACTAAAAACCCCATGCCCATTAGAAATCACTTTCCTTCCCCCACCAACTTTCCTCCCTTCTTCACCCTAGGCAAACCACTTTCTGTATCTGTGGATTTGTCTAATCTTGAAATTTCATATATAGAGAATCATACTATATATAGTTTTTGACTCACTTATTTCAATTAGCCCAACTTCAATAAGTTTATTCATATTGAGTATGAATCAATACTAGATTCCTCTGTATTTTCAAATAATGTCCATTGTATGGATATCCTGCCTTTTATTTAACTATAAAAGTTGATGGGCATATGGGTTTTTTTTTTAACTTTTTGTCTATTATGAGTAATGTTCCTCTGAACATTCCAGTACAAGTTTTTCTGGGGGTGTATGTTTTCCTTTGCAATTCCATTTTTAAATACACTTCAAAAAGAAATATGAAACTATTTTCTTAAACACATGGTAAAAAATACTTTATAAAACTAATACCTTCTTCTGGTGGTCATAATCATAAATGAAATGTAAGTAAAGGTTACAATTGTGTATGAAAATGCAGTTCCCTTTCTATTTTGCTAATTGAGTTTAGTGGAAACTACTGTCTAATAAACTGATCACCATATTTCAGTTTCAAGATAAACAATACCAATAACTTTTCAAGATCTTCTGCTTTCCATCAAGGCAACTAAAAAGGCACGAGCCTATTAAACAGCAAAGCAAACACCACCATTTATTTTATTTCTATTCATCTGGATACTTTTAAAAATTTTTGTCTCCTCCACTGAGGTTCTATGTTGACTCTAAAAGATAGTAGATTCAGATAAAACTGTTTAGTTTAAAATTTCAACACATATTCAGTCAGAAGTTCTTGCTTGTTAAATTAGTTATAATTGGACGCCCCACCGCAAAAAAAAAAAAAAAAATCAGTAATGCAGTCAGCAAAATTCTAAGATAGCCTCCATGATTCCCATCCCCCCTTTGTTCTCACATCTGTTTAATCCCCTCCCCCAGAGTGTGGACAGAACCTGTAACTTGCATTATTAATAATATAATCATGGGAGATATATTGCATATATTGTGATACAATATATCTCCCATGATTATATTATGCTACATAACAAAGTAAAGAGATTTTGTAGGTATAACAAAGGTCTCTAATTAAAAAATTGATCAAAGAGAAATTATTCTAGAAAGGTCTGGCCTAATCAAATGAGCCCCTAAAGAAAGGATCCAATAAATAAATTACTAATTGGTTAAGAGTCTAGAAATGAGAAACTCAAAGCAGCAACATTGCAAAGAAATCTAGCATCTACCCAACTTCTATCAAAAGACATGCTTCCTCATGCCTGCATGAGGGCAAAATCAAAAAGTAGGTAAAGAAAAATAAAGGCATAAAGTTCTAAATAAACATCCACTATGTAATAATGGTTAAGAATTCTCTGGAATCAAAATGAAGATAACTCCAAGCACAGAAGCTTCACTTAGCACCTAACTGATGGTCTTTCTAATATAGTGAACATTTATTTAAGAGCACTTATAATTATTCATGATGGAGAACATAAAGTGAACAAGGTGAGTCTCCATTCTTCAGCAGCTCAGCATTTATTGACAGAGTCAGAAATATACAGGTAACTATAGTACATGGCATGTAAGCTACAAAAAGCATTAAAACAAGAACATTGTAGTGCAAATAGGGTAGATATAATGACTAAAGAAATGGAGCCACACAAATTAACCAATGGTCATGGAGTAGATTTCTAATGTTAGTACATACAATGACAGCTAGCACTTATGAAATACCTGCTGTGTGCCAGGCACTCGACGAGGCTCTTTCAGAGAGTATTTAATTTACTTCTTACAACTCTGTAGTAGAAATATTAGGTCTTTAATTAATAATAATAATTCTAATCAGACAGTTTAAGTAACTAGATCAAAAGAGAGGGTAATGCCAGCACTTACACTTAGGTCTAATTATTAAATATTGTATAATATATTGCTTCTTATAACTATTTAATAAAACAAAGCTTGACATTGTATATGTTTTTCAAAGAATTTTCAAAAATATGTCAGCCTATCCTGAAACAACCTTGTAAGATAGAGATACAGGTATCATTTCCACATCATGGTTATAGGAACTAGTATTTAGAGGTTGATTTGGCACTTAATTTGTGAATTAGGACCAAAGCCTTGGCCTTCTGACTCCTTGTTTCCTGTCTTTTCCACATACAATTCTCTATGATACTTCAGATAAAAGCCAAGAAGAAGAGAATTTTTTATAAAGGGAAAAGTAAACACATCTGTAACTCTGACTGCAGCTATCTTCTCTCACTAATGAAGTCCCATATTCTGCCATCAAGCATCTAGTTAACTCCATCAGTCCCAAAATTCTCTTTTCATAGTTTATGCTGTCCATTCATCTTTAGTAATCCCCCAAAATGATACACAATTCATAGGTACAATGTCACCTGAAGGATTTATCAGTATACTCCTTGGCCTTTGTTATTCTCTATTCCTTTCCAATTTTTCTGACCTATAGATCTCACTGTCCCCATTTTTCTACTCTTCTTCCACCTTCATATGCTTTTGCTAATTCTTGCTCTTTTTACAGCTGTCTTTAAACATTTCTTCTATTTCCTATGTATTTTCTTCTAACTTTTCTTTCAAACTTCTTGAGCCATTACTTTCTCCTTATACCATATAAGGAATCAGATTTCTTTGTTATGGTACCTGGTTCTTGTAGATATCTAAGAGGCACATTATTCATTTACTAAAATATTTTAGTTCAATATTTTTCTGAACAAAAAAGAAAGAAAGAAAGAAAAACAAATGGGTTGTTGTTAAAGGGTACATGGGTTTTGGAATTTTTAAATGGTAAATATTTCCCTGATGCCTAAATTTGTATAGACTAAATGTTTATCACATTAATACCACTTGCTAATCTTTTCCCTTTATGCCATATTTGGTTTCCTACTCACTGATCCCCATTGAAAGTACACAACATACAGAAGTACCATGGTGGAGCAGACCTTCCCAATCTCTCATTGACTTTACTTTTGCATAAGGTCATCAGTAAGATCACTCCTTCAAGTAAAGACAGGTGTTATGATCATATAAAACCCTGTTTCAACCTAAGTACATGGTCATGACATGACCCAGGAGAAGGAAAAGAGGAGCACAATGTCTGGCAATAACTGAGGAGGCTATATTTAAAGATATTATCCCTCTAAAAGCCAGCAAATAGAAATTCCCAAGTACCAACTAAAGATATATTTCCTTCACTCTTATATTCTGCCCTGATACCTATGAAATTATAAAATATCATAAAAAATAAAACCATATTTAAATATGTGACTAAATACAGCTTTTTATAGAAGTTGATCATGACTTTGACATTTTAGTTATAATGCACATGGATAAGTGCTGTCAAATGGAGGAAGAAAAGTCAAATTGAATGCCTTAGATTAGAACTAACATTTTAGATCTTTTTATTATACATAATCTAACTATTGTAATGCTGTTTTCTGACACATTACATTATTTCATCTTTAAAAAGTTTCAGAGCAAAGTAGTTTCAAATCAACCTCCAAATTTAAATGTTATTAATTTTTCTTATAATTGAAGATCATGGCAATCTATATACTCACTAATGCTTTGCTTTAAAATTTAATTATAGAAAATATGAATACTTCTAAAATCTATTTTATATGTTACCATTCACACTGAGACATTCTCAATAAGAATAGAACCCCATTTGAAGAAATAAAAATAGTCATCATGACTTGTTTTTAGTTTTTAATACAGAATAAAATTTTAATTCTATATCCATGTTTTCCTGCAAAGAACCACTTAGAAATATATTTTGGTTTCAATATAAACAGGTATTGAGCAGTTTTGGTAATGGTGAACTAGACAATCCAGACCAAGCCCATCCCACAACTAAAATCCCTATGTAAATTTTCACAAAAATGCAGATTAAGTAGAAATAACATCTTTCTAAGAGCATAGAAGAGCTAATGAGATAGCAGCAAATTACTGAAGAAAACCAACAAAGCAGCACAGCATTTGGTGCCACTTGCTATTCTGTGCTGACTTGATCTGGTGGAGAGGCTGAACACTTCTGACAGTCACCTGGGGCTAGAGAGCAGGATTTTGAGAGTACATGGTTATGATGAGAAATCAAAGGCTGTTAGATGGAAGGATGAACTAGAACTAAAACAGCCTTCACACTGACTTCAGGCATATACTCAATTATTTAAATGACACAGAAATTTTCAAACATTAAAATAAGACTAAGATAATATAGAATTGCTGGTTCTCTGGAGACCCGGTTGTACCAGCAGAAAAAAAAAATCACCTCAGGAAGATTATAACATCATCATAAACCTGAAATTATCTCTATGAATAATTTTACAAATACAGCATTCAGCACATGATGAAACCTAACCAGATCAAAAAGGTGTGGAGCTGTGGTAATATAAAAGCCACCCTAAATAATAGAAAACAGAAACAGGCATCAGTTGCCCATGTAGAAGAATGATTAGAGATGAAGTATTTTTTTAAAAACAGCCCGTGTTTATGATAGTTACGGACATAAAAACAACCTTAAGCTTTTCAGCAAGAAACTAAGAATAAATACTACAAAAAACAACACTGCAGATGTGTGAAACAATCTACCAGAAATATGAAACTAAAATCTATCATAAAGACTTCAAGGATGAGGGATAGGCCAAAAGAAATTATTGAGAAAAAAAGAATCGAAAAGCAATCTTTGCAAAACACAAGATTAAATGATATACATGATATGATAAGAAAGTCTAACTTACATTGAATTGGATTCCAGAAGGACAAGAAATAAATATGAAAGAAATAATTGAAAACATAATTGCTAATGGCTTGCCAAAATTAATGAAAAGCACCAGGTCACAAATTCAAGAAGTCCAAAGAGATTTGGAACCAGAGGAAAGAAATACTAAGAACATAGAATCTTTGCAGGACACCAAAAACAATGTAAACATATGTAAAGAGTGACACTATCTTCTAAAAGAACAAGTCAATTAACATATAAAAGTCAAAAACTGTTTGAAGGAAAAGAATAAATAAATAAGAAATTATAACATGAGCTCACCATAAACAGAAAAAATATTATTAACAAGTAAAATTTTCTGTCATTTACTATCATGAATGGAGATTTGCATCTTTGTTCCTATATCTATCATAATTCCTCATTTTAGTTTTTTGGACTATTTCTTCAATATAATGGAATGCTCTAATTTGCTACCCATGTTAATAATTTTCAAATAATAAAAACAACTTTAACAAACTTATCATAGCCACCATAAGTGCTATAATTATATATAATAAAAAGTTCCTATTGTTATAATTTCTAGATAAAACATGTTCCCTGACAATTATGGACATTTGCTGCATTGTAATAAAAAATACAAGAGAATTCTGATGAATTTTTTATTCAGTCTTCCTACATAGATATTCACTGTAATCTAGGGTAATCAAGTATGAGAAGGTTATATACCTTCACTCAATTAGTAGCTGAACTCAAAAATAGGATCTGGATCAATAAATTATGAAATACTTTTTAAAAAATTTATCTGATAAACCACAAAAGGAAGAAATTAACATTTGTAAACTTATTTATGTTCCAGGCTTTGTACTAAATATCACTTATACATTATCTCATAATCCTCTAACATACACAAAAAAATGTAAAATCGGCACTATTAATTTCTCATGTAATATTTTTCAGATAAATAATTAATCTTGTCAACACTCAGAACCCTTTATTTTTTTATCCAGTATTTATATAGGTCAACTAATTACAAACAAATATTCACAGGAAAAATAATTTACTCTATAAATTTGTTGTTATTCTTTTGTTGTTTTTCTTTTTAGGTATACATTACAGTAGAATGTATTTTGACATTCTTCACTTAATAAACAACATTTTGATAATGATAAATGGAGTAAAAACAAATTATCAAATAACTCCTAAATATCTTCTGAATTTTTTTGCCTTAGAATCTATTCAATTATAAATCTTTACAAGTTTGACTACATTGGTACAATGTCTTCTTGTTTGTGAAATTTCTATTCCCATAACATTCTTAATTTTTATCTTAAATGAGTTTTATTTTTTATCATGCAAAATCACATGTAATAAATATATTAGCTGAGAACATGTATGCATTTCACAATGTAGCTACAGGATTTTGAAGCATATATTTTTAATTTCTATAAATGAGTCTCTAATTCTCAGGGCTATATTACATTGATATGAATGTTAGACTACCTAAGAACTTTAGAATGACAGGTAACTGGGCTGGGGATGTGGCTCAAGCGGTAACGCACTCGCCTGGCATGTGCGGGGCCCTGGGTTCGATCCTCAGCACCACATAAAAATAAAATAAAGATGTTGTGTCCACTGAAAACTGAAAAATAAATATTAAAAAATTTTTTCTATTCTCTCTCAAAATAGAGATTTCCTTTTAAAAAAATGACAGGTAACTATCACACTCAAATAGTATTTTAAAGTTATCACTGTTATGTAAAAAGATATT